AGTAAAAAAAAAAACAAATAATAATAATAATAATAATAAAATTGATTCATTCATTTTTATAAATCGATTCACATTTTAAGCTATACTCAATTATCAATCGATTGTTGATTAATCGTTACATTCCCACCTGGTAGTCACTGGACAGGTGTGTGTGCGGTGTGCACTCTGCTGATCTTTGTCATCTCCTCCGCTCAGGCCAACCTGCGAGCCATCGACGTGAAGCTCATGCAGCAGCTCATGTCCATCAACGAGGGCATCGAGTCCATCCGCTGGATGATGGAGGACAAAGGAGACGCGACCAGCCAGGACGGCAGCCTGACGGGCAGCCTGTACAGCCTGACGGACAGCCAGGACGGCTCCTCGCTACGAGGCAGCTTCAGCAGCCTGAACGACGGCCACAGCGACGACCTGGACGGTCTGTCCGTGGGCAGTTACCTGGACACTCTGGCAGAGGACCTCCCGGACGACCCCTCGCCCACGGACCTGGATTGTTTTGTGGAGAAAAGCGTGATCGACGGCGACGCCTTCACCAAGTCCCCTCTGAAACTCCGGGTGCAGTCGGAGCAGTACTACTGCTTCAGATAGTGACGATAAGCTCAACACACAGACTACGGAGGGACACGCATTGACAGGAATGATAGACGTTTAACTCAGCTGTCAGCTGGTTCTTCTGTCCCACATATTTAAATTAATGGTACAATTTAGTTTTTTAAAGCTTTCACCAAATGAGAGAGAACATCTCTGAGAGACATTTATCCCAAAGGTTAAAGTGAGAACTCTGGKTTGTTGAAGTGATGTTTTGTGTGAGCTTTATAAACAAAATCCTACCTGTTTTAGAAGATWCTTTGAGCTACCGCAATATGGATAAAACTAATTCTGACCAGATTGACGAGATAACGCTAATCCAACTGCAGCAAGGATTAAAGCGAGGTGCTGTCTTAAAACTATTTTAATCTAAAAAAWTTTTATGCAGCCTCAAACTCTTCAGATGTGCATTACCTGCTTATTCTGGAGGAAATGTATTATTTTAATAGTACAGGCTGCACCAGAAGTGCTACAGCTAGCTGCTGCCGCCACTATCTGTGTTTAGAAATAACTACAAAATTTTATTTTTTAAAAATTGGGTATTTTAAACAAAAATAATCAAAATAATCTGGCTGTTAAACTCGGCACCCATCCGTGACTTGTAGATTATACTTTCTAATCC